AAAAAAAAAAAAAAAAGCAACCAACCTAAGTAGAGATTCACTCGTTTAATTAGATCGTTGCGGTAGGATCGGTGTGTCTTCCAAGAAACTAGTCTCTCTTGCCCTTCCAAGTTTTGCACCTTATAAAAAAAGAAAAGTAAATAAACAAAGACGAAAATACAAATTTTTTATTCCTGATGTCATCGTCATCATTCCCATTATGCAATAGAGACATTATGGACAGTTCTTTTTGGATCGTAAGTACTTATCGCGCACACTCACTCCACATAAATGCATCCACCAAGTCCGATACCCATTGTCTGGAACGTTCTTTCCTTTTTTTCATTTTTTCCCCAGTACGCGATCTCTGCGTCATACCCTAGTACCTGTTAACACAAAGGCATTTCTTTCTCCACAAACAAGTCCTAAGTGTGATCGAAAAACCCTCAGCGCAGTGGCTTATTTCTTGTATGCGCCCAGATGTTTCCGCCTAGTTCTCCGCATTAGCTTCATACGCCACCGACGATCCTAATATCGACTTACCACCACGCGACAAAATCCGTAGTCCGGACATCAATTCCGAGGTCTTTGAGTCCCTTGGTCGATAGATGAGTATCGTAGGGTCTTTGTACTCCACCAGGCTCGTTCCCTTGCTTATTCCTGATCATCCTATCCAGGGGTAGTCCGAGTACCTCCGCGAACTTCTCGCAGATCTCATATTTGGTCATACGATCTTCGGAGCTGAAATGGAGAATATGAGGCTGCTCTGGCAACCGCGTGCGCTCCTTTATATACTTAATGACAATATCGCGACACACGCGCGCAACATCTTCGGTGTTTGTGGGATACCGTTGGGCCCAGTCATCCATCTTCACGCTCGACTCGGGAGCCTGAGACTTCCACACCGCATCGATCAGACAATTGACCGCGCTCTCCGAGTTATTCTCTGAGGGACCGTACAAGACGGGCACCCGAAGGACGAGGCCGAGCCCGGTCTCCTTGGTCGCCTCCAGCACAGCAACCTCACCATCTCGCTTCAGCTGACCATAAAGGTTGGGAGGCTTCGTTTCCGCATCGGCCTCATACGGAGCTTCTCCTTCCTTACCAGGAAACACGTAGTCCGTAGAGATGTAAATGAGAAATGCGCCGCGGGACGAGGCTTCTTCTGCAAGGGTCCGCGTAGCCTCGACATTCACCCGGCGCGCTTTCTCGGGGTCTTGCTCACACAGATCGGGAGAACGATTGGCGGCGCCTATAGACGTGCGTGTCAGTCTCCCCGTGAGATATTTTACGATACTTGTTTAGCTTACAATGGATGATAATCTGAGGTCTGTGGCACTTCCATGATTAGCTCTTTGCTTTTAGACATACGCCCCCCCGGGGGCAATTGTTCATTCAGAGAGATGTCCTCACACCACATTTCCCCAATTCACTTACTTTGCTTCGTCCAGGATACGCTTCACGTCTTCCTTATCCTCCAAATCGGCTTTCAGGATGGTCGGTGGGTTGGCTCTCGAATAGCCTTGACCGACAACAAAGCACCCCGAGTGCTTGAAAGTGTTGAATACCTGCCGGCCGAGCAGGCCGGTAGCGCCAGTAACAAGGACAACGCTTGACATTTTCTCAGAAGTTGACTCAATGGTGGTCATGACGGAAGGAGGTTTTGGCTGGAGGTGTTCGAGAATGTTTTGTGAATCTGCGGGGCACAATAGTAGTGACGTAACCTGAACCGCTTTCCGCTCTGGTTTAGTTGAAACAAAAGAGCTCGGTTATGGAGCCGATGGGATGTATGATGACGATGTGGTTGTTACTTTTTGTGTTTAGAACTATGACTGTTCTGTATGTACAGCTCTGTAGAGTACTTTCTAGATCAGGTGTCATCCCATTATGGGCGTAACATGAGCTGACCTTTATTTACACTTGGACTGGCTCTTTTCCTAATTCGGACATTGTTGCCCAATGGCGGTTCTTGGCTCCGATTTTGGCTGAACCACCTCAAGCGATGATTCGTTTGCAATGCAAAGTACCTTTTTCTTGAATCAGCCGGGGTTTAATTCTTCGAACAAGCTGAAACCCTTCCATGGATTAATACGAGGCTGCAATGTATCGAGTAACAAATCCTATGGACCACATCCTATAGAAATTCCAAGGTTCTAGAGTCTGGCTAGAACCAATGTTCCCTTTTTTTTTCAGCTTGGTTCAACCTCATTTTTCTTTTTTCTTTTTTTCCTTTTTTTTTTTTTTTTTGCAATTGGGAGGCTTGCGATTCAAACCGCAAATGTATGTACGTACCGGTCTACTCAGCTGACATACACATAAGTTGATAATTGTTTATACCAATCGAGTATATACAAAGAGTTCTGTCTCCAAGATGTTTCCCAAGTAAATAAAGCATATTGTGCGCGAATTTGTACGTGGTTCATGTTGTAGCAGGAAACATCCAAGCTATATATAACCCAATGTTGTTATTACGATATATTTGCCATTCCCCTTTCCACTTTTATATAGAAGGGTAATTCATATAAATAGAAATAAAGATAAGAAAAAGAATTGAAGCCTAGTAAAATGAATTAGTTTATGGACTAAATCAAACTTATATACATATTCTTTCATCTTATTTGCGTGCTAACCATTGAACCACGTTTAATTGTTCAGCCAGAAATTTTTCCATGTTCGGTCGGGATGTCGTGAGCACTCCGGAGTCGGCGCCAACTCCGGCTCGGTCAGCTTTTTAGTCTGCCGTTGGCCGACAACCTTCAACATTTTTGTTTGCCAACCACCACACCATGTCGAGTGTCAGGAACGTTTCGGTCGCCCTACGGAGGGCTCGACTGCCCAGACCCCGCTGTTTCGTCCAGCCCATCGTCTCTCGTGCTCCCTCTCGCATTGCCACCCGCTCATTTAGCGTCTCCTCTTCCGTGAATGCGACTAAGGAGATCAAGTACACCAGCGACGCCTATCCTAACCTCAAGCGTGACCCTAAGTTTGCCGAGATTACGGCCGAGGATGTAACTTTTTTCAAGGAGCTTCTGGGCTCCCAGTCGGCCGTGATCGATGGTGTGACGACCGATGCTGCCGATGATATCGAACCGTTCAACAGCGACTGGATGCGCAAGTACCGCGGCCACACAAGACTGGTGCTGAAGCCTCAGAACAAGGAGGAGGTGAGCCAGGTGCTGAAATACTGTAATGATAAGAGATTGGCAGTGGTTCCCCAGGGTGGCAACACTGGATTGGTGGGAGGTTCCGTGCCCGTGTTCGATGAGATTGTCATCAACACGTCGCGCATGAACAAGATCCGCTCCTTCGACGAGGGCTCGGGTGTTCTGGTCGCTGATGCGGGTGTTATCTTGGAGGTGGCAGATCAGTACCTGGCGGAGCGGGACCATCTGTTCCCTCTGGATTTGGGTGCTAAGGGTTCTTGCCATATTGGAGGTAATGCTGCTACGAACGCTGGTGGACTGCGTCTGCTTCGGTACGGTAGTCTTCATGGCAACATTCTCGGTGTTGAGGCGGTGTTGGCGGATGGTACTATCGTCAATTCTCTCTCGACTCTGCGTAAGAATAACACCGGTTATGACCTCAAGCAGCTGTTCATAGGCGCAGAGGGTACGATTGGTATCATCACTGGACTTTCCATCCTGTGCCCTCCCCGTCCTAAGGCGGTTAACGTGGCCTACTTTGGTGTTGAGAGCTACGAGAAAGTTCGTCAGGCGCACCAGGAGGCAAAGTCTCATCTCTCTGAGATTCTCTCCGCTTTCGAGCTCATGGACGGCCGTACCCAAAAGCTTGTCCACGAATCCACTGGCAACAAGAATCCTCTGGATGGTGAATACCCCTTCTACTGTGTAGTAGAGACTAGCGGATCGAATGGTGAGCACGATATGGCCAAGCTCGAGGGCTTCTTGGAACACATCATGGGCGAAGGTATCGTCGCCGATGGTGTCTTGGCGCAGGATGAAACCCAGTTCCAGGGTATCTGGCGCTGGAGAGAAGGTATCACCGAGGCCCTGAGCCACCTGGGTGGCACTTACAAGTACGATGTCTCGATTCCTCTTCCTGAGCTGTACCAGCTCGTGGACGATTGCCGTGAACGTTTGACCAAGCTTGGATTCGTCGGAGACGATGACTCCTTCCCTGTCCGCGCTGTTGTTGGATATGGTCACATGGGTGACTCGAACCTGCACTTGAACATTTCGGTGCGTGAGTACAACAAGGAGGTCGAGAAGGCCATTGAGCCCTGGGTGTACGAGTGGATCCAGAAGCGCAACGGTAGTATCAGTGCTGAGCACGGACTTGGCGTTGCAAAGAAGGAATTCATTGGCTACAGCCAAGACGAGACCATGGTGAAGCTGATGAAGCAGTTGAAGGATTTGTACGATCCGGTAAGTACTTCAATCTTCGTTCTGTGTATGTAAAAACTAACACTTTTCTTAGAACGGTATTATGAACCCCTACAAGTACATTTAGATTATTATTAAAAGCAGCTGCGTTCTGTATTCATATGAGAAGTTATTATACCACAGAGTGTGAATTTATTGGGTTCAAGATTTATCGTATTTATTCCCGGATATCACGAAGTCGACGTACAAATGCTATTCGAGCCGATAGTGATCGTAGACCACATGCCCGTTTCTCACATAATATACTGGGAAATAAGAAAAAGCATTCAAGCCTCTGCTATTCACCAATAGGTCCTTATGTTTCCAGGTAATCAACCTTAACACAATCGTACTTCTGTTAACATTCAAAATGGATGTGTTATCCAATAAGATACGCCACGTGATGGCGCCACTGGTCTTTTACTCAATATAACCTCTTTGTAGAAACTGAGGATCTTTGCACAAGTTTGTCTATTTAAGGATCCTCCTTCCTAGATGCTTGAGGTGACAACCCTTCAATATTCTCTTCCCCGCTATACTAATTTCGATCCCTTCTATAATACAGAATTGATTATTTAAGTTCCTGTACCATACGATGGAGCTAAAAATGGAGGCTAAATACGAGATGATACGTACATGTCAACATGGGTGGAAAGCACCATCCTCGACTCCCAGACCAACCAAAAGCCTAAGCAGTAGCGAGTTAAGTACATACCAGTGAAATCTACTCTTTTCGACGTCGACCTTCCTAATAACGGTTTTGTATTGGGGAGAGTAGTACCTGAAACACGGTCAGCCTTGTGTAATATTGATCTACTCTGACCCTCCCAGGCACTGTTTCGTGACCTCTTAACCAGCGTCTTTCACACTTTCTCCTAGGTTAAATTGTTCGTCCGTCTGGGTCAGCTCCGCTTCACGGAATTGCCCAAGAGCCCTGTTCGTGGTTAAATGAAGTTTGTATACATATGGACTACGGTCAATGTGTCGGGCAGTTGTTCAAGCTGTTCCAGATCTTTTACCGCAGGAAGGTGATGTTATGGATGGTACTCTAAGAAACACTATTGATCCTGTCGATGTTGGTGAAGGTGCCGAGTCAATATGAAATTTTTACTTGAGGATCTTACTCTCCCCCAAAACAAGAGCTGCGCCGGGCTTTCTTGCTCAAGAGGAAGAAATGAACTAAGATCATACGGGTGGAACGATCCACTTATCTAAGTATCTCGGTAGCAGGGTTGATAATTAATAGACGTTAAAATTAAGTAATCTAGGATTTAGCTAAGGCCGTACTCTTTCTGTGAAAGTCATCCTATTGCAGTGCATACTACTAGTGATGTTTGTAGTAGTAATATAGTACTTTTCGGTGGTTAGTGAGACGATAATACTATTGGCCTATGGCCCCCGGGGATTTAATCCGCCGCAGCTGCAGCCTGAGGCCAGATGCGGGGCATTATCTAATCGGTGCAGAACCTTGGGGTCCACTCGGTGCCTCAGGCGGCGGTTGCCATGCGCTACCGCCTGTTGTTTTCCGCGAACCATGGAAAAGTGCGGCAGCCGACCATTGGATGCGACGGGTGCAACCAATTTACTCTAATCTCGATTTCCCTCAGCTCTCCGCCCCCCCCCCCCCCCCCCCCCCCCTTCCCAAGGTCGATAATATCGACTTATTGAGCTCAACTCCAAGGTCTCGCCGGACACGGTTAGCTGGCTGGCTGTAAGGGTTGCTCATTGTCTCCAGGTACCCCTGGTCTTTGTGTTTTTTCATTTTCCCTTTTCTTTGTGGCCCCCTGAGGCGCCGACAAATCCGGAAACATGGCGGACGATATGGCGAGCCAGTACCAGATGATGGAGGAGTTGGGCAGTAAGCTGCAACCGTCCTAGGATGGCCTAAATGGCATTGGCTAATTGTTTCTGCGCATCTAGGTGGCAGTTTTGGCATCGTTTACAAGGCCATTGAAAAGTCGACTGGAGAGATTGTTGCGATCAAACACGTAGGACCACCGCGTGTAGTTTCCGCTTTGAAGAGTTTGACGTTGATTTTGTTTGCTACTATTAGATCGATCTCGAGTCGAGCGAAGATGATATCCAGGAAATTCAGCAGGAGATCTCCGTCCTGGCGACGTGTGCGAGTCCCTTCGTGACTCAGTACAAGGCTAGTTTTCTACGAGGACATAAACTATGGATTGTGATGGAATACCTGGGTGGAGGTTCTTGCCTTGACCTGGTAATTTACTGTTCCATTGTCTGATACGGAAGGTTCTTTGCTAACGGAGATTAGCTGAAACCGGGCGTCTTCAATGAAGCGCACGTTGCCATTATCTGCCAGCAGCTATTACAGGGCTTGGATTACTTACATAGCGAAGGAAAGATTCACCGTGATATTAAAGCTGCGAATGTGCTCCTCTCACATACCGGAAAAGTCAAATTGGCGGATTTTGGCGTGGCAGCACAGCTAATCAATATCAAATCACAACGTAACACGTTCGTCGGAACCCCGTTTTGGATGGCGCCGGAGGTGATTGAGCAGTCTGGATATGATTACAAGGCAGACATTTGGTCTCTGGGAATTACGGCTATTGAGATGATTAACGGAGAGCCGCCACATGCCAGCACTCATCCGATGAAAGTACTCTTTCTGATCCCGAAGGAGCCGGCTCCCCGACTGGAAGGCGACCAATATAGCAACACATTCAAGGACTTCATTGCCCAATGTCTCACTAAGGATCCGGAGCGCCGACCAAGCGCGAAAGAGCTTTTACGACACAAATTCATTCGGAATGCGGGGAAGACCGAAGCGCTGCAGGAGCTGATCCATCGGAAACAGGACTGGGATGCTGGCAGGGGAGTGACGCGCAATGTCAAGTACTATGCTGAGTCTCTGTATGTGCAACTGAATTGGCTTACACACTGAAATCTACTAACATCGCCATCTAGGAATACCATTACGCACTTGAAGGATGACGACGGATGGGTCTTCGACACAGTCAAAGCGCCCACCATGAAGATATCAGAGGATCCATACGTGGACGAAAATGACCAAGACTCCCAAGATTTCCTGTACGATGAAACATCGGAAATGATGAATGACATGCACATCTCCAGCCCTCCGCTCCCGCCTAAGCACGCTCCGAATAGCGCTCCGAATAGTGCGGTGAACACCGCCGTGAGACGAGCCCCGGCCCCTGAGCGCAGCCCTTCTACGCGGCGAAGCTATAGGAAGCGGCGCTCCAGTGGAATTAAGCAGCCTCTGGGCGTTGACTTGACTTTTGGCAACAGTCCATCGACCGTCCGGCAGTTCCGTCGGGTATCTGATAAGATCCCATCCGAAAATTCGTATAGCTCCCAGTACTCCTTTGGGCCCGATGAGAACAGTAGCCCGAAGACACTGTTCTCCGAGCCGAATAGCAAGGAAGCGCAACTCGGACGACGGGCATACAGCAAAGCTGTTGGCTTGTCCTGTCAGGAAGTTCTTGGGACCACTGGGGACCAGGAAAAGCGAGAGGCGATTTCTCGACTGGCGGAGGCCTGGAGTGATCTTGAAATGGTGGACCCCGAGGGATTGTACCACATTCTTAAAATCATGAACGAAAAACTTCAAGGGTAAGTTGCGAGCTATTGCTCACCGTGACGAACGGAACCGGCGGTGGCTAACGGAACCTTTGAAACAGTGATCCAAAGCTGTCAAGTCTTGTCCCACAGGCAGCTCCACCTCCCGATTCCCCACAGAGACCACGCCTAGTTTTGGCACAAAACAACCCGCACCTAAAAAGCCACAGACGGCGGCAATCCGCGGCAGTGGCTGAGCCCAGCTTGCAACCGGCGCAATTAGCCAACCTTCCGGGTCAACAAGTCCCCGGAATGGAGCACACCAAGCAGTTGTCGGATGTGCTCTACCAGCGGTGGTCCGAAGGGCTGCGTAATCGCTGGCCCGGGATGTAACTGCATTTAGCCCTGCAGAACATCCTTTGCTTAATCTTTCAGGGGCTTTTCTTGATTCTTTCCTTGCGTTGTACAAAACCCGATGGTCTTTCAGGCGTTTACATATCCGGTGTTCTTATTCGGCCTGGTTTTCGGTACGATCCTAATTTACGCTCGTTCTATATTGATCCCACAACTGGCCCCGTAAGGGCTTAATTCATTCTCTGGTGTTCTTTCCCGCGATTCTTGCAAGGGGTTAGCTGCAGGTCGATGATACCCCGAATTGAGAGCGGTGCATGTTAAACCATGCCGGCAGTCTTTCGTTCAGCAAGGACGGGGTGGGATGAACAATCTCGCAAGTGCGAACCTCGGCGCTGATTATCCTTTATTTCTTTTCTTGGTTTCCCATCAGATCACGGACCGGGTCTTGGAGTTTCGTATGCGTTGGGTTTCATTTCTGGTGAATCTTTTTTTGAGGACTTGTGATTACTCGATTTTCTCTTCTTGTTTTGATACTTTTTTCTCTTCTCTTCTTTTCTTTTCTTTTTTCTTTTTTCTTTTTTTTTTCCCCCTTAAAGTATTCAAAGATGGCCCCATGAGGGCTCTATGTGAAATATACCTCAGCATTGTTGTCGTTGTTGTTGAATTGTCTGTACGTAATTGGCAGTGTAAGTTGCGGATAGAAGCAATCGAAAGCGAAAATAAGGCAAGGACGAGAATCAGTGGAAATTCTAGACCGGCGGGTAATAACGACCTAAGTTGGGGTGGATACGGAGCCGTGCCGATTGATATCTCGTTGTAATGAGGAAGTGCAGATAGCAATGAATGTGGGTGGAATGATTAAACTCGGTAAATTACTTGTCTCACCTACAAATTCCCTGCAGCTGTCAACCCCATGTGGCATCCCATACTGTCACTCATCAAACATACCGGGGAAGGGAAAGCAAATCTTGCATACTGAAGAATGGAGAAATTGACAATACGGTAAGGAGGGAGTATCCTCACTGCGTACAGTACGCAGAACAGTACTATATTTAATGCCACGATGAAACGGCCAATCACTCGGCGGTGACGGCGATCAATTTCCCCCCTGAACGAGCTGGACACGGAAGGGATGCGCGTTCGACCCGCCTCATGGGCAAAGAGAATTGCTCTTGCAACTCGGGGCTCAGGAGACCAAAAAAACACCTTCATTTCGTCGACACTAATTCTAATTTTACTTTTACTTAGTCACTTGGCCAGACCTTTTAATTCCTCCGGTTGAAGTTTGTGTCCCTTTCCTCTTGCTTTTATTTTTCCTACCCTCGTCAGTTGCATTTCGTGCCTGTGGATTATTGTTAGTTTGTTTCTCGCTCTCTCTTCCACTCTTTTGGAACGATTTGGTTTTTGTTGTATTGTTTTCTTTTTTTTGGTGAACCCAACCCCTTACGATTCCTTTGGTTTGTTGTTTTTCTTGGACTTGTATATTTATTATTTTTTATTTATTTTCATACCACAGTCTCTACTACTGTTTATGTCATGATCTTGTCTTTTCCCCGGTCCTTCAACATACTCCCTGAAACCCGACTGTAATCCAACGTCATGGGAGATATCACGGGAACCGAGTCACCTGCGCCGGAAGCATCCCAACCATTGCTACGCTCCTCGTTGGATCATCATTCCAATCCCATGTCCGCTAGCGATCTTACCGAGGAACAGCTCGAGCAGCAACGCCAACTCCGCCAGCAAAAACGTGCCTCTCTCCCCGCCCGTCCCCATGGGGCCGCACGCCATAAGAAGCGCTTGACCCTGAACTTTCCCATCAACGTACCTCCCCTGACTACTGCCCTGGATTCAAACGTGGCTGAGCCCAGTTCCATGACGCCTGTGACTCGCCCCTCGACTCGACACTCTCATATCCCCGCCGTCGGCACCCCCGTAACCTTCGACGACCACGACGACGGGTCCGGTCTCCTGACCGCCATTGCCTCGCAGGAACGGAAAGTGCTGGAGCTCCGCGAGGAGCTTCAACGGGCTGAAACAGAGCTGGACTCGTTGAAAAGGCAATGGGAGGCATCGGAAAAAACCAAGAAACGCATCGATATCAGCCATCGTGCTGAACCGCTGATCCCTCTGCGATCCCCCGACCGGCCCGGCGCCGACGAGACGATCCTTCACAGCAGGGAACACAGCGTGGCGAGCTCGGAGAGCCCATCGGTAGTACAACCACGATTCAGCCGGGAGCTGGAGCGCCGTCACAGTGTGCGCTCTGCGGCGGCCAAGGGTACCAAACTCTCTGCGAATGGACGACGGGTGTTCCAAGGTTCCCATACGCGGACCTTGTCCTTGCTCTCGCCTACTGTGGGGCCTGTCCCCAATCTGCCAGGCTCAGAGTTAGGAAATGGCCAGCCCGACCAGGATCGCATGGGCCGTTCTCCACGAGCTGCGACCCTGCCGTCGGCTGAGCGTAGCCCGATGGTTCTAAGCTCGAATGAAGATATGATCGCGCAGTGGCGGAAAACGATGCCTCCCCCGTCGCGGGAGGCGCTGATGCGCACGGGCAAACAGATGGCATCCGATCTGCGCGAGGGTCTCTGGACCTTCTTGGAAGATATCCGACAGGCAACCGTAGGGGAGGAAGGAATCAACGCCACCGAATCGAGAGCGGTGCCGTCCCGGAGCTCGACTTCGCGAAGCCGAGACCGGTTGTCGACGCAAGGAGGCATGTCCTCGCGATCCGCCTCCTCGTCACGGAGTAAAGGCGCAGGAGCGAAATTATCTGGTAAAGACTCTAAATCGACGGATATAGACTCGTCGTTCTGGAGTGAATTCGGCATTGATACAAGTGGGCAGAAGTCCCCGAACGCTCACAGAGCCTCCACTACCCCAAGCGGGCCGAACGCGCAAAACGAGTCCAATCGTCTCGACATTGAGGACAACTGGGACGACTGGGATACTCCCCAACCGAAGAAAATGCATACCCCCTCCTCGAGTCAGTCTACGTGGGAATCGAAGCAAGACCAGTCTCCGATGACTCCTAGTAGTCCCCGCACAAGTACTAGGTGAGTTGTCTCTGTTCTTTCTTCTTCCCCACTGCCTTCTGCTGCAATCCGGCCAGTGTGGTTGTGCGACAATGCATGCGCTTACCACGATTAGCTTTGGCGACTGGCGCCCACTCCACGACTCGTTTGTCCCAGATCCCAGCGTGTCGGATGGTATCCCCTGGCCTGCCATGGCCGACATGCCGTCCCCGAAATTGCCGCGCACGGCAACCAACCTCATGGCCGAATGGGAGCGCAGTCTGTCGCCCGCGCTGGACTCTCCCACCTTCAAGAAAGCCTAAGTCAGCCACTTTCTTCTTTTGATTCTTCCCTTCTGGGCCTTCCACTCCATTCCGGGATGCTACTGTAAATATGGACATGAACATGCACGATCTAGCCTAGTTTTGGCGTGACTGATATATTAGATCTGGAGCATGAGACAATACGGATAACGCAAGGTTATGATTGATCCCAATGCCTTTTACGACCAGCGTTCTGTTACTGACGTTCCTTTCATTTTTCATTCTTGTCTCTCTTTCACTACTGTTGGTTGCTTTCTTGTACAACTTGTTTGACGAACAGAAGGAATATTTGATATAAATACATGTCAGAAGTAGAAAATGTGACAATACAATAAAATCTCTTATCGATAAATTTGACAGAGCACGTTCCATGGATGCAAAAAGTAGAAAACCATGAATCGATGGCCGAATGATACCAATGGTAGTACAGGATGTTAATCACGTGACCATATTGCACAAAGGGTCCCATCCGACCGCCGTAAATAAATTTGCGAGTCGCCATCTCATCTCCGCAAAAAGTCCGGGGATCGCATTCTCACCCCCAGTCCTACTCGAGCTTCGCACTCCTTTTTCAGCTCTAATAAGTTTTGCCTTTCTCCTGCAGGAGACAATAAACAGTCGCACCACCACGTGATCCGACAAAATCACCCACCCCACCTAGAAATCCTCCCCGGACCAAACACGACAACACAACTTCAAAATGAACATCCCAGGAATGACTCCCGGCATGGCCCCCGCAGGCGCAACCGCAGGAGCCGGACTCCCCGGTGCCGGTGCCGGAATGCAGGGTATGAGCGAGCAGGAACAGGCAATGGTGAAAGCGGTTAGTCAATCAATATACTCCGGAGTCCGAGTCAAGCACCTGGACGCGCGGGAAACACAACGTTGCGAGAGGGAAAAACAGAATATGCTAACGAGAACAGATGCACGCCGCCATGGAATCTTGTCCCGTGAAGACTGTTATATCCGGTACGATGGGATTCGGTCTTGGTGGTGTGTTTGGATTGTTTATGGCTAGTGTATGTTTCACCAGTATCCCCGCGCCCCGATTTCCACAATGGAATGCTAATGTGATTACGAAATAGATGTCCTACGACTCAACCTTCACTCCCCAAGGAAAAGCCATCATGGACCTCCCCTGGCGCGAACAAGTCCGCCGCGGTTTCAAAGACATGGGCTCCCGCTCCTGGTCGTCGGCCAAGAACTTCGGTATCGTGGGTGCGTTGTACTCGGGCACGGAATGCTGTGTCGAGGGACTGCGCGCCAAGAACGATCTCTCGAACAGTGTGATCTCGGGCTGTATCACGGGTGGTATTCTCGGTGCGAAGGCGGGTCCTCAGGCTGCCGCGGCTGGTTGTGCGGGTTTCGCGGCGTTTAGTGCGGCGATTGATGCTTATATGAGGATGCCGAGTGAGGAGTGAGCTGGTGCGTGCGTGCGTGCGTGCGTGTGTATAGAGTTGACGTAATTCTGGGTGGGCGTTTTTGTTTGGGATAGAGCGGCATTTTTTGGGCGTTTGGGGTTACTTTCCTTCTTTTGCTCTTGGGGTGGAATCACTGCTCTCATGGGTTGGGGGTTTTGTGATGTACGACGTTGTATTATGGGACTCACTGCTCCGATTGTATTATAGTGTATATGAGGTTAGAATTGTATAGACTATCTACGCTTTAGTATTTATGGGTTTATTGGGGGTGGGTTGGTTGTAGGTTGTATTGTAGTTGAGCTTTAATGAAGATATAGAGCTTGAGTATATTCTCTTGTACATTGTAAATCTTAATTCGAAAAGAGACCGGAGGGGGAGTTGGATACAGTTCTACGTAGTAACTTATAACTAGAATATTGTGATTCCAAGTGACCGACCACCTTGTCGCTCAGGCAAAAGGCTCATAATTGACTGTTTTTCTAGTTGTTCCTCAACTAGGGGTATGAAATCATACCCAGAGTAGTCTTGCTTCATACCAGAAACCATATCAAAGTATATAAATTACTTCTGAAAGTAGATATTGAGAGCAAACTCAAAAAGTATACTTAAATTCCCTTTTTGGAAGTCAGGTAATACGCCTGAAATTACTATAATACAGGAGAAATAGTTTAAGCAATCATAATAGAGCATGTTCCTTAGTCAATAATCTACTTCATAATTATAGAGATGGCTGCGGTCCCATAATTTGGTTGACATTGACTGGGTAAGTCTGCGGACACAACCTCACTATCTTTCGATGATGAAACCCTCAGTTTTTTTTATGCAGCCTATTTATGAAGGGCCCAGAAAAGTTATGTAAATGCGAGTAAGTGAAGATCGTCATCACGGGTGACCATGGCTCAACCCTCTGAGGGTTGGAGGGTACTTGCTACTGACGTCTTGAAGAAGTGGCAGGCTTTTTCAATGGGATGGATTTTCTGTTTATACCTAGCCAAATATGCTAGGATGTGACTCCTTCAAACCCCAAGCGCATAGCTTAACAGAATTCACAGTCCTGACGACTAACATATGTCCCTGTGGAGAGTTCATCGAATAGCCTCGGAAACCCGCCCTGAGCCCGTACCGGGGCGGGGTCAAGGAGGCTAAAAGCTGGCGATCACCTCTTCCCGAGTGGCTATGGCAACATTGATAGCTTGGGAGATGAACGACCATAGTATGGATGGGATTGGCTCGCAGCAGAGTGACCCCTGATTCTGCAAGACTAAGAGTTTAATTATCCCGAAGGTTCTGCAAGTTATGCTCGGTTGGAAAATGCCGTACTGGATGTCATGATCCAAATTGCGCAATAAAATTAGCTGACGAAAGTGCTTCCTAGCGTGTAGTATATAAGCCGACGCTTCAGCTGCTTTTGAATGTCGTGATGCCTTGACTCTCGTTCACTTCTCACGCCTTTGACACCAACCAGGACATCATGAGACTCTTTCCTGTATCTCAAGGACTGGCTATCGTTGCTATTGCAGTGACCAGTACGGCCTGGGGTGTAAGAGCATTAGCCAAAGCAACAACCGGGAACCCTCTAGCTACGTCCGACCAGCAAGAGCTGGATGCTCTTGCAATCCAGATCTATCAAGATTACCCGTTCACTGTCCTCAAGGGTGAGGCAAAGGTAGCCTACCAAACAGCTCACGGAATTCCAATTAGTGAGGAGGCGGCCTCTAGTCTCGATGCAGCCATCGAGGAATTGGTCTTCAGTGCCGTTCAGAAGGCTGTGAACAACGACCCATACCATCCCAAGGTCTACTGGGTTGATTCTGGTCCGCGTAGTTGGTTCGGGCTGGATGTTCCCGGCGGGCGATATTCTTACGATAATCCCGACTGCATCTACCGCACCATTCCGATCGACGACGATGTTGATTATGTGGTGACAGGCTACCGCCACTCAGTCAGTCCCACCGATGTGAGCTTCTCATTGATCAGCGACCCCAATTCCCAGAACACCGTGGCCTACTTGGCCGGCAGCGATCTGATCGTTAATAATGATGGCTCGTATACCATCACCATTAACAGTTCAGCTGCTGATGGCCAGACAAACCACATCCAGTCTACTTTCTCTGCCGTGCAACTGTTGATCCGCAACAACCTAGGGGATTGGGACTCCGAAACGCCCGATAATATCACGGTTCAAGCTGTGAGCAACACCACAGGCCATGACGCCATCACCAGCGCGAAGATTATCAGCAATGCGATATGGAACCTGCAGGAGTCTATCGTGGATTACGGCGTTGGAGCACTCGGGCTCAAGACGATGACGAACGCCGTGAACACACTCAAAGCCCCGAGTCAGTCCAGCTCCCTCGGTACTCTGACCAGCCAGGCGAGCTCCTTTGGCCATTTCAACCTCACCGCGGAGGAAGCCCTCGTGGCCACCCTCACCCTTGGCCAGGCGGATTACGTTGTCTTTCCGGTGACAAACCCTTGGATGGTCACTGTTGATCCCGGGAGTAGCCTGGTTAGTCTGAATAGTAACCAGGCCGTGGCCAACGCCAATGGGACGTACACATTTGTCGTATCCCTGGGTGATCCTGGTGTCTATAACTGGGTCAACACTACCGGGCTCCATGAGGGTACTATCATGGTGCGCTGGCAAGGGCTGGACACCTCTTCGTCGTCCGCTGACTCCCTTTCCATTGAGGTCCAGGTGGTGGCACTGTCTGATCTAGCCTCAGTCCTTCCAGAAGGGACCCAGTACGTCACGGCCGAGGAGCGCGCAGCGCAGCTCAACAAGCGCACTATAGCTTATTCCCAGAGGCTAACTTACTGAGATGGCGTACCAACTCTAGTTTTGTTTCTCGTCTTCTCTCAAGACGGCTGTGTTAGCTGCGACAACCTCAGGATACTGCCCTAGAAAATAGAACTAATTCCGAACTAAATATAATCCTAAGTTACTCAAAACTTCATCTTTCCAATGTAGATTTTATGACGTATTGAGTGACAACTCACGGCTTACTCACCGGGCAATTCATATTTTGGGTCCGCTGAACCAATGATTTCAATCCACGCATTGATCGAAACGACATCGGAAAAATACCCCGCTGTCGATCGCCCCACCAGTTGCAGTTTATTGGCAAAGAACAACACCAGTTCTCAGTCGAGAGCTGATCGTGTGATGTGATATTGACACCTGAGGCCACGCCCGGCGGGGTAGTCAATTCGTCTATGTCATCATTTCACTACTATATAAAGAGAAGGTATTCCCTATTCTCAATTTTCAACCCTGCTACACCCCGCCATTTCATTAACACACGGTTCACCAATCGTTCGATTTATAAGTTAAACCTGCCCAAGATGTCTGTTACAGCGATTACCTCGTAAGTACCGTCAAACTAGCTTCCTTCTTTCCCCGCACCTCCCCGCATTGTGGGCTATATTGATAAATGCTAATGACGATAATATTGTTAGGGTACCACAATACAAGGAGATCACCGGCGGAGTAACACCAGTTGCGGTGTTCTTCTCCTCAGAAAAGGTTCAATCTTGCAAACCGATTGCCCAACTCCTCGAGGAAAAGACAAAGGGGCTTTCTTCCCAATTCTACAAGGTGGACATCGATGCTCAAGACAAGGTTGCCAAGGAGGCCGGCATAGGCATCCGAGACGTGCCCACCATCGTGATCTATCGTTACAACCAAAAGCTAGGCGAATGTACTGGGACCGATCCCCAGAATGTGGATAGAGCTATCACCTCCGTAACGTCATCTTAAAGCATCGAGAGAGAGAGAGAGAGAGAGAGAGAGAGATGGTATTGTCTCGGTTGATATGTGATGTTTGCTTTGATGGTGTAGGGGAAGACAATTCTGATTGTATTTAATTATAGATCAAATTATCAAATATCTGACTGAGACCTTGACGGTCGTATGAGGTCTTCGCTCGTAGGGCTTTTACATCTGCGAGATGGTCTATCATTATGTCTGTTTACGGTGATGGTGTTGTATGGTAGATTGTACTTCTGGGCGTCCGAGAACAACATCCCGAGTACCGATTGGATTCATTGCGAGACCTGCAGGGCTAGAATGAAAGGTTCCGTGTTATTGCACATAGTATGAAGCCTGGTCCTGTCAGTATTAGAGTTATCCTTCTGGCTTCACCGAAGAACTCCTTCATATCACTGTAAGAATAATGCTGTATGTAGTCTATGCTAGTGACACAGACTTTACGTATAGAAGTTGAACTGTCTTCTTACCAACATCGTGATAGAATCCTAAAGATCACACCGTGTTATGATTCCCATGCTCTCTGGTTATCAGATCATATTCGCTGGGCTTTCTGCTGGGTTTATTGGTTTAGGTTTTCTTGGCTGTAGTAGAAGGTTTCCAAAAGAACGTAACAGAGTATAGAAGGACGTATGGATAAAGCCACTTCGGTTCTTGCTTATTTGTTTCTTTGATAGGAAGAGCATAAGTTCTTATCATTAGCGTTTGCCTTTGATCATAGACACGATTTGGTTAATCCATAACGCCATGGGGAGTCTACCTATCAAATGGTATTAGCAAAGCAAAGAATTGATTCCGATGATGATCAAGGGGTTCGCTCGAGTCCCAGTTTCTAACTTCAATGATTAGCTACGGTTTCGATGCAAATGAGCGCACGCAAACTCGAATTTGGCTTTTCAGACACAAGACAGCTTGACAAATGTACATCCTTCTATTTAACCCAGGGAAACTTTCGAAAGATGGGAATGATCATAACAAAGGTAAGTGTTCAAAGTGAAGTAAAGACCGATGCTGACATGTCTTGCACCGGATGTACGGATTCTCACCAGAGCTCCAGGATCTAAAATCTTATGTTCATCTTTCGAAGAATCGAATGGGACATAAAATCCCGAGTAGTGATAGATGTGTACCCAACATCCGACTCAGCAGAAGGGACCTGTGGCAAACCCTAAGTTGAATCTATGACTCAGTTAGTCAAAAGGGGAAGTCTCACCATTGCGGCTTTTAGTCAAAGAAAAGCACAAATATACATATCTAATAAAGAGCCTAATGTGGATCCTCGCCGCTAGATATTAATACCTCCACTGTTGTGGTTGCATCGTCTAAGTACCCCTGCAGCTCGGCGCTTCACCCCCACATCAAATAAGCACTAGTTTTAGCTTTGGAGGCCAATTACCCAATGTCAAAGCAGCATTTCTTTTTATTATCTGACATAGAAAAGCGATAGGGCTTTAGTGCTTACAGTATACTTCATCGCCAACAAAGAAGCGTCGTCCAAATACCTGTCGGATTGTTGCAGCCGACTAAATAGGGTATCCACACCTGTTCTGTAACCTCGGTAATAACCTCATACATAACAGCCTTCACCTTTATGTCCTATGTTGACATAAAACCCGCTCCAGCCGCTGAGGACCTGATCTCCTTTTCCTCAATCCCTTTGTCTTCTAGGCATATAAGTAGGGTCTCATCGCCACCTTCATAGGAACGAAATCAAGTCCTTTTCCTTCCTGATCTGAGGCTTTCGTTGTCCTTGTTGGATAGCGAACTTTCAAATCCTCCGGAACGAACCCGATAGACTAGTACCAACAGAAACAATGACAACAAAGGAACAGAAGATCGAGGCCGCAGTTGCGGCAGGCGAGATCCCCGGTCTGATCTTGCTTGCTACTGATACAGCCGGTAAGCTGGTAAAGAGGGTTACCTATCAATCTATATTAACCTCCTAGCAGATAAGTTCTACTACGGAAAGGCTATTGGCAATGCATCCTTGAAACCAGGCGCTGAGCGACCTATGACCCTGGACACGACACTCGCTATAGCCTCGTGCACGAAGATCATTACTACCATCGCCGTGCTGCAATGCGTCGAACGAGGCCAGTTTGGCCTGGACGACGATGTATCCACTGTGCTTGGTGAACTTCATGATCTCAAAGTCCTCAAGGGCTTTGAAGAGGGTACTGAGGCTCCAATTTTGGTACCAGCCAAGAATAAAATAACATTACGGTAACTTTCTCATCTCTTATCTACATACCATGTCCTCATACCAGCATTGATGTGAATATTAACTCATTACACAGACACCTCTTGACACATTCATCCGGTATCGCGTACGACTTCGCCGATCCTAACATGATACGTTGGCGTGCGTCGACGGGCCACACCCCAGACATAGGTGAAAGCACGCCTCTACTGCAGCGCGCTACTCTTCCCCTCCTTTTTGAGCCCGGTGAGGGCTTCGTGTACGGCTACTCGCTCGACTGGGCCGGGATACTCGTTGCACGCCTCAACAATGTCTCCCTGGAGGACTACATCCAGAAGAACATCTGCGAACCACTAGCCATCACGGACTTGACTTTCCACCTCGAGAAGAACGAGGAGGTTCGCGCCAAACTAGCCGACTTTAATTTCCGGATGGGCGGTATGACCCAATTCGCGACTCCAGCAGACCCAAATGGGCAACTCACCTGGATACCAGGGCGCGTGTGGCCGGACCCCGTTGTCGAGGATTATGGTGGATGGGGCGCGCTCACTAGCGGACCTTCGTTTATGAAGGTCCTTGTCTCTATTCTACGCAATGATGGGAAGCTTCTACGCCCCGGGACAGTGGAGGATATGTTTACGGATCAGCTATCCACCGCCTCGAAGGAGATGTTGAATGCTACACTCTCCATCCCGGAGGTGAACAATTACCTCGGTGGAACGCCGTTAGGACTGCAGAAAACCTGGGGGCTAGGCGGGTTGATTGTCTTGGAGGATCATACTACGGGTCAGAAGGCTGGTAGCCTTCGGTGGGCTGGCTTGCCGAATCTGTTCTGGTGGATTGATCGCAAGGTTGGGCTGTGTGGTCTGTATGCGAGTCAGCTGGTGCCCACTGGCGATCCGAAAAGTATGGAGTGGTCTACTGTGTTCATCCAGGACATGTATGAGAGAGTGGAGAGGTTTCGTGCCAAAGTGTGAATTAGTACCTAAGCTCTATCAACTCTTTAGTTTACTTAGCTGCAGGTCTCTAGGCTGGGTTCAACTTGTCAGTGGGTGGCTTATTCACTCAACACATCCTGATATTTGTCTTGATGTTTATATTGGAGAAGAGCATCATGACATAGTGATATATAGACGGGAAAATATGAGGGTTCAAATGAAGTTCTATCATAGGAATCCCCCTCTTGAGGCTGACACTACTCTGCTAACAGTAGCTACCAACCACATGGATACTGACACATAATACAAAATGTGTTTGCGCCTAGGCAACGAAACACAAGCTGACTAGCAGATTGGCCAAATACCTTTGTTGTATATAGGTAAACAATGCCTTGTGTCAGCTTGAGATCTTCAGAGAATAACAAAGCATCTCCAGATGATTTCTCCAAACTCCTAGATCCTACCCAAGCCTTTCACATAATCTCCAAAACAACACACCAATATAAACCACCACGTATCAACCATATGGAAACCACCAACGACACCACGAACGAGCAGGTCCTCCTGCAAATAAGCGACCGTCAATTCATAACATCAAAATCGACACTCTCGCAAAAAAGCACATCTTTCCAAGCCCTCTTCTCCAACCGATGGAACAACCAGCGTCCAGATAGCTCCTACTTCGTCGATGCAGACCCCAACCTCTTCGAACATATTCTTCGGTACTGTCGCCGCGGCATCTTCCCCCTCTTCTACGATCGAGCTTGCGGACACAACTACAGTCTATATCTCCAGCTCCTCCAGGAAGCGAGATACTTCGGCATTGACGGTCTTCGAGAATGGTTAGAGGAAGAGAAGTACCTCCAGGCTGTGAAGATCGTGCGGTCAGTGAAGTCGCTGAAAGGCCTTGAGAGTCAGATTCATGAGGTTCATTTGGCGAATATGGACCCGGAATACTTCCCGCACTGGGGTACTCGTAAGGTGTTTGTTTGTCCCCGGGGAGTTGGGCAGCATAGGAGAAACCCGGGACTTTGTGGGAAGAAGTGTGTGAAGGTGCAGGGTGACGAGGAGGTGATTTTTGAGGATGAAATCGGCCTTGATTGGAAGGGTGGTTGTGGAGAATAAGGTTGTTTTTGATATGATGCAGTGCTTTCCGGTTCCGCAGTGAGGGTGGATATGGTTTTATGTCTAAGGATTTGATTTGTGGTAAAGATTAGTAGGTTGAAGGCTCTTGGCCGACTTTCAGGATGGATTGATGTGGACTCTGAGATATGATCAGGTCTAGTTTGTTTGATATGAACCACTTTCGTCAAGACGAATAAGGATTATCCTAACCCAGTTCTGGCCAATTCAATGCTTCATTACAATAATTCACACCCATATATACAAACAACGAAAAAACCCCCTCTATCCAGCCCCCAGAAGTACAATTATCCCCCTATTCCTCCTCAAGCGGCTCATAAACCTCATTTCTCGCATCCATCCACTCCCGTATATGATCCCACCGCCGACACGTATGTGTCTGCCCCACGCCCAAGAACACCGGCACCCCCTTCCACCCATACATCGGCACGGGCGACAAATCCGCATGACAAATCACCGACTGCACAACCTGGTCCAGACAATGGTGGAGATGCACCTGGCCCCAGTCATCCGGGATATGGGACGAATTTTTTCGAAAGCTGTCGTGGTGTTCGAGGTGAGTGGAGTAGTAATCTTTATCTACGTACATGCGGATATAGTTTAGGCAGTGGAGGGAGTGGAAGACATCGAGTCTGTTTTTTTTTGTTTTTCATGAGTTAGTAGGTGTTGGGGTTTTATAGACATGGTTAGATATGTATGGGTTTGGCTTACTCGAAGTGGTAGTTACCTGTGTCTGGGAACTTTTTGATATTGGGTTTGTAGGGTGCTGCTTCTTGGTCTGTTATTGCAGGGAATTCTCCTATTTAATCATTAGCATGTTAGGTTATGAATTGATTTATAGATATTTAGCAATAAAAGAAAGGAAAAAAGGAATAAATACCACGAAGCAACTCAGCCCACGCAGCATCTATCTCAGGACTAGGCGGACCCGCATATTGAGGTTTTGTAGGATCTACCTCTCGTTCTATCATCTGTGTTTCCTCATTGTAGTAGAACTTTCCCGTGAAAGTACGTTCTTCATAGGTGACATATGGTTGCACGTCTGGGAAGTCGGTTCTATACGCTCCATGAGTTGCTGGTTGCCGGAATAATAGATAACCTGAGAAGAGCGCTAAGATTGCGGACAGGATCCATGGGAGGCCAATCTGCCAGTTGAAGGTTGTTTTTGAGGATTTTGGGAGTTCATTGGGGTTTAGTTTCTCGTATGTGTATTCTTTCATGCGTTTGAAGAATATTGGCATTTTGGTGGGCTGGGTTTGGATTTTGGTAGAAGGGTGGGTTGGTGGGTGTTGAGGTCGGGGTAGACTTAGTGGATTGGGGCTACGTTTGGAAATATTAGAGGCTATTGTTCAGATGACGGCTGTTCGATTTTGGCTATGCTTTGTGAGAGATCGGTGCATTAGCCCCCTAGCTTAATGGTGGCGTCTGATCTGCAAGGGATCTAGGGCTGTGGACGCGGTAGGATGTGGGCTTCAGAACCAGACAAATCCATTGGCTACAGGGAACGTACTAGAATAAGAAGAATGCATAGATCATGCAATGTGAGGTGATCATAGATGTTATCATGCAGATAGTTGTGGTCATTGCTGCCAGAACCCTGCCGGCAACTAGCGGTGAAGTAACCTCAATTCGACTTGATATGATGTGTCGCCTGTACACACCATTGTGAACTGTGTTGAGTAGGTTGTTACTATACTATATTAATGAATTGACTATCTGGCTACACGTCGGATCAGTATTGATGTATTCCATGTCGTGGAGTAGAACTTACTAGAAGCAAGTTTAGTAGACACAGAGCAAACATGTACGGGCAGCTTCCAACCAATGAAGCTTTCGGCATGCAGTAATTGCTTTTCTCAATACGCCAATTCTCTACGCTGCCCAATTTGCTAGGATCTACGCTGCCTGCATGCAGTTTTCCAAGAGTGGGATACAATGAGACTCTACGCAGGGCATAGCTTCGCTTAGCAAGTTAATAGCGTAGATCATTGACGGAAAGTCCAATCATGAAGGTCGAGCTGGAGGATCATTGAGAAGCTGACATAGCCATATCAGATGATCATAGATCCCTCCTTTGACGAATCTCATGCAATGCAAATATATACATGGAATAAAATCATACCGACCCGGGAAATGTGGCGACCATTGCCGAGTCAACACTCCGGTAAAATACCTATGGCATTGAATAGCCTTTAGCAATGCAAGCTCATGCTCACCGCTTCAAGTCCATTGCAGTTTGCAAGCCCCAAATAACGCAATACAACCTGTATGGCCGGGTAGTGGGGGTGACCTTGCCACCTCTAAAAGCTGATATAAAGGTTAGCATCTCAGCTCTGTCCGTGGAGAACACGCATTCATCTGGAATTCACACTCGATCAACTCTCATACTAAACTTGTTGACACATCTTACCCTACCTTACCTGACACATCCCGAATAAAAAATGAAGCTTTCTGCTATCTTGGTTGCAATTTTTGCCGGAGCTATCATGGCAGCTCCTGTTCCGGACAGTCCGATCCATGAGCGGGTAGGACACATATAATGACATACAGTTGTGGTTTCGCGCTAATGAGAGAATTAAAAGGGCATACCGAAACCAAGCGCCGGGATTGAAGAACGGGTAAGTTGTCTGTATTGGAGTCATATTTTCTCACCAAAGATTACTGATATAAAATTATAAAAAGGGGCTTGCTCATGGCGGCTGGGTCGAAGAGAGGGTAAGTCTGCTTGCATCCGTTGGGATAAAATCCTAACAAAAGATAAAAAGGGAGCAATCGTGGACAAAAAGCCAATTGCTCAGCGGGTGAGGCTACATAATCCCCATACCCTGTTGAATACATAACTGATAGATGAACGAAAAGGGGGCTCTTGATGCCGGCGGTGAGCTTGAAGAGAGGGTAAGTCTGCCTGTATTGGAGTCTTACCTTTCTAGAAAATAGAGTACTGATAAGAGATTGGAAAGGGGATTGGTTATAAGAGCAGGGTCCAAGAGAGGGTAGGTCTGCTTGGCTCCTTTGCGATAAATTTTAACAAAGTAAACAGGGTGGGATAGTGGCAAAGCCAATTGCTGAGCGGGTAAGTCTACATGATTCCTATACCCCGTTGAATAGATTACTGATAGATGAATGAAAAGGGGGTTGCTCATGGCGGTTTTGGGGAGATATTAAGCTCACCTGGACAAGTCCAAAACAATTGATAATGGGAGAATGATAAGGGGACTTTGACATTTAAGCACCGGATTGAAGAGCGCGTAAGTCTGCCCATATGTGCCCAAGACCACTGTTAAGAGGGGGATGGAAGGCGGGGCAATGCTGTTTAAGACCTGGTTGAAGAGATGGAAAGATCGTCTGATGTCTACCACGTGAAGTTGACTGATGTCCGAATTATAGGGTATACCTTTGCCTGACCTAGGGCCTACCATCGACCCTGAAGTTTTAGGCGGTGGGCGTCCTAAGTGATCACCCCCCAGCTGCAATGGATAATTGCTTTTTATTATCGGGTTCCCTGGAGTGTATCCTATAGGCGTTCTATGAAAAGGTCTTATATTGTCTTTAGGAAGAGATGAACAAAAAAAAAAGAAAATCAAAGAAAAAGCACATAATATAATTCATGATAAACCGAAGAAAAGTCATAAGAAGATCTAATTAAAAAACATAAGTGGGATCCATACAGCAAACCCAAAGCCATCTCAACTGCCCATACCCCCAATAACCATAGCCTGAATGAATCTGCGACGATCTCTTTCCCTACGCAACATGACCAAACAAGTGGCGATAACTAGAGCCTCCTCGACCATGCTCAAGTCGACATCAGGACTAATAACCAGTTGACCACCATTTCCAGCAGAACAACAAGATGAACCTGTTGCACGTGTATCTGGGCTCCGGAGTAGATAGGCGATTCGCGTAAATTTTGCACATTCCGTCCCATCAATCTTCTCCAAACACAAGGCCTTGAGCTTACCTCCATCTGGAGAGGCGATGGTCGAGTACTTCCATTCCCATTTACATCCCCCTTCTGGAGGCGTAAATGACATGGCCCGGGTGGTCAATTTTCCCTGCACAGCAATTGGCAGAATGACGCCCCCCTCTACGGAGGGTAAAATGCGGATCCAGGGAGAGCAACCTGGCCTAAAGTCAATGGAGAAGAGATCTCCGTGCTTAGGTGATGCAAGAATGGTGTGACTCGATAAGGCCTTGTCTTTGGTGGCTGTATATGCTAAGGTACCGTCGGCGGTGTAAATAGGGATTTCATTCTGTCTCATGGGCATGGGTGGGCGAATTGCACGGATACCCTTTGCTTCGATATGGAATCGCCTGCCTTCGAGGAAGTTGGCCTTTGAAGTGTCCAGTAGTGTGGTGGTGGTGGAAGCGACACTGTGGATGCTGGTTGCATACTCTTTGGATTCGAGCTTGGAATCCATGTCTGGACTTCTGGAAGTGTAAAGGGGTTATAGTATTAATTTGCTTGTAAGTTAAGATATATAGAAAGTAGATGTAGATGATAATAGAATCATTCATCAATATCTGTCTCTCTGACCTAGTTTATATAAATGGTTCTGTCAACGCTGCGCCCTCGTCGTACTCGCTTATATTAAGCTTCTCCCTGGGGAGAACCTTATTGGAGGGAAGGAATACGAGCTTTCCTATTACAGACTAGCGGCTGAGCATCCATGGACGACCGTCGATCGTCACGGGGCACTCACGTTTATCGTGTTGGCGAGAATACGAGCCTTTGCCACAGAAGCCACAGTTATAGTATGACGTGGTTGGAAACAAAACGCGCTTAAGGACCGGGCGAGGTCTATGGCTGTCCGCAGTCGTCACTACTTGCAACAGGGCGATGCCACGTTATGTCTGAATTTTGTACCTTCAGCCAAGACTGTCCCCCGCCAGGGTGGAGCATCACCTCGACTGCCCCTCAATGGGAGTGACTTTTTCCAATGCATGGACGTGGTACAGATCAACGCAGGGCAGACTGAGTCGCTTGAGGGACGCCTTCATAGCCACATTGCAAAAGGAGGCTATCTACCCGTGTCCCAAAACGTCTCCCTCTGGTACGCCTTGCTAAAAGGGGCTCAATAGTCAGCTTCTGGTAAGGCATATTGGGTACACTGCTAGCACTCAATGTTCCTGAATCTTGGAAAGGCAATGTAGGGAACCATTTCCATGGTGCTTTTACATGGTTTAGACATGATACAGCTTAGTTTGTGGGTTTTACTTGGCTGAGAGCTGATTCGGTCAAGCTGACACGCAACTAACATACCCAGCCAAGTTGAAAGCTTTTTGCGGTCTTAAATCCGATTATTACAGCCATGAGTACATCGGAATATATCATGATACAGTTAAACTTCTTTATGCCCACTACCCACAACCACAAAGCGAATAGACCATGGCGTACACCAAGCCCCAACAAGAAAATAACACCGCCTCCACACACGCACATTAGCAAGACCCAGATTTCGACAAACGTAAAGAAGAAAACCAAAGAAACCGGATTCAATAGCATACGCTGCCGTCAATCCTAATTAAACTCTTGCAACTGCGTTGCAAAACCCAAACCAGGCCACCATCCCGCCCGATGCTTAATAAAAAACTCCGCCTCTGGTTTAGCCTTCTCGAACTCTTCCGCATCATCCAAAGTTCCAGCCAAGACAATGATCCCCCCTTTAAATTCCTCACTATCAGCCGTCTTGTATAGGAAGACTCCACAGTTCTCGCAGAAATGCGTCGTCAAGTTCATGCCGCTCTCATGAGTCATTGAATAAGTTTGGGGGGAACCAGATGTGAGTCGAAAATGGCTTCCGGGAATCAGTATATTCGTCGAGCTGCCACTGCTAAGCTTGCGGCAGGTTAGGCAGTGACAGACGGCCTAAATGTAATGGGTGAGCCTTACTGTTATTGCGTGGCAAGTAGGCTGTCACTGTGGTAGGGGGGCTGGGGGTGATAGGTACCTTTTTGAGAGGTTCCGCATCGTACGCGTATTTGACTTTTCCGCAGAGGCAGGATCCAGTTGGCATTTTGATGGATTCAAGTAAAGTGGTATAATGGCAGGTGGCTCCGAGGTGGGTGTTTTATGTCATGAGAATATCTGGGTGGGGTTGAGTAGACTAATATATAATCTGTGATTTTGGCGAGAATGCTCTAGCTTCTAGGATACGGTTAAGCTTAGCATGTTTAACCGCATATAGAGGGGTCTAGATTCCAGGTTTTCAAAGATTCTCAATAGCAATGACGCGGTTATCTATCATAAGCTCAGATTAGCTCGTTTAATTGGCTAAATAGCCAGCTTTAAGTTGCCGACGTTGGAAGACTGAAGCGAGGTCTACACCGGCCGAGAATCACAATCACAAATTTGAAGAAGAGCTATGTTTGACTAAGTCAGCCCACTGGGCCAAGGTTTATTGCTGATAGGGTGATCCGATTATGCTCCGTTAAGTAACTTATCATACTCAGGAGCTATCCCTAATCCAAACCGTGGTAACTCTGTTCTGTACGCTCGATTGAGTTTCGGCGAACAGTGGGTCGAGCCAACACCTGACTGACTGGTGGCATAATTGGATGATGGGCCGGACAAGCTCTAAGCTTGGCTAAATGATTACTAGTAGGGGGTGATATATGGACAACTGAGACTGATACTAGCAATACATATGGTTATTCATCCACGGGTTACTCATAAATAGGTAGGGAGGGAGTTTGTAGCAGTGAAGAGCCAGCCCATGTCACCTAATAATCTGATGCCTCATACAACAATTAACATTATAATTTTCAATGACGGCTATATCGGCGTCGTTATCTCCTTTACCTTCGAAATGCCCCAAGGTATTCGGTTTACAGCCTCGTCATTCCACTAATCAGGATCCGCTATTCGGAGCATATCAAACACTCCCGATTGACACCCACGCCCACGGGCGTACAGCTCCAAGTCGGGAGTCTAAACCCTTAAAAGCGATCCGATCTGTTATTCCATCTAAATCTGCTGATGCTCCAGCTGAAAGCAAAATCCGAACACCCTCTTCATACGCTTCGAAAATTGCACGATTTAATGGATTGGCATATGGCCCTTGCAGATGCCTGATATTCACGTCCGCCGTTTTATGGGGTACTAGATACTCTAAATAGTCTGCACTGCGACGCCCTATAGCACAGTCTAATACACTGCCGAAGTTTTGAATCCTCCCCCAGGTAAGCTTCAAGTTTATGTTTGCATTTCCTTCTTCCACCAAGAGCTCGACAATATCACTGAACCTCTTTGCAATAGCCGCGCTAAATGCGGTGTTGAAGGGTCCAACCCGGAGCTGAAGGTTAACGTTAGCATGCGCCTCAGCCACTAGATATATAACAATATCCAATTATAAAACCCAATTGCATCGACCAGTGCCTTGCCAAATGAATACTGCACACAATCAACTTCCAAGTTGACATCGACGTTGACCTTCTCCACTAGATACTTGACAAGATCCAGTGATCCATTAGTAAACTCGTTTGGAAGTGTGCTGTTGGAAACTCCAGACACTAGGAGCACTGCATACGAATCATCATCGGTAGGCCGCAGAGAACCTGACATGATGCAACTTATTTTAGATGGTAAACAGAAATGTCCTCGCTGTTCCTCGATCAGATTGGAATGAGACCTCTTCGAGAAATTATCTCTGTGCGGACCTTGAGCCTACATACTGTTACAACATGAATGGATATGGGATGAATTAATCCATTTCTGAAGTCATAGCAGCGTATTTTTCAGTGCATTAACCATCATAGACGTTCCACAACATCTATCCTTATAGTACAATTAGAACCGTCCATCGTAAGGCTCCATCAAAGTGTTATTCTCAATCCCAACGGGAAAACCCTCCCCTTCAGAAGTAGTATGACACCAAGGTTTAAGGCCAATTTCCTCCCTCAGCTTGCTTGAAAAGCACTTCGACCACTGACGACGTGGATAATGCTGATTCACATCTTCCACGGTATCCATATGGACATACTCCTTGTGGGCGCCAAGGTTGTCTAATGGATCGTTAGCAATGTACAAGGCTTCGTCATGTTTCATAGTCGAGGGACGGACTCACCAAACTGCGTAGCAAGCTGAATAAGCAAGCCGATAGAATGGATAGTCCCAACCTTCACCGGATCCTGATGGCGGATGACGGCCTCTGCGACACTCTCAGCTTGGGGTGCTGGGGCACCCTTCTCCTTGAGGACGTTCAAAGCGACGATTCCACCATAGATGTCGAATGACATAAAGACGTCTTGGGTGTACTTGTCGATAGTCCCAATGTCGTGGAAGAGGCAGGTGAGTAGCCAGGTTTCGTCGCTGAACTTCCATTCGGGGAAGTGTTGTCTGGCGATTGCAAGGCCTGATAATATAGTTAGGTGGGGAGCGATATATAAACTTTTAGGAAGTGACATTCGTACCGTAATAGTAGACACGCATGCTGTGGTTGAATGTGTGGGCCGGTAGCTCTGCCTTCACATATTTCATGGCATCTTTGACTAGAGCAGTGTCGGGAAGGGGCGTATTTTTGACCAACTGAGGAACGGAAGCCTTGCTAGGTGGCCTTGTGGCAGCTCGCTGCTGAGGGTCGCAGGATACAGCTGTCCAGCCGTATTCTTCCACTTGAGCTGCTCTGGTGGATGACATGGTAATAGGAGGGTCCAATAGTTGTGAGGTTAGGGGCAATTGATGAGATTAGAAGATCTTCTATAAGACACTTTTTTGAATGAAGATTGAATAGATCCAGAGGAAGATGAGTGGTATTTATACGCCTTTGGTGATACCTCATCTCCAGCATTGATCTGAAGAACCGGATAATGAGGTCGAGAAATGCATGACATACTCCAACCCTAGTGGGGCATTTCTTTCCAAAAAGGGCAGTAAATGTGTGTGGGGCCGTTGTGGGCACCAATCACCACAAGCGGCTTTTCTCAGGTCTCGCCTTCATCTCCATGACAAATGTGGCGATACTCTAACACAGGAATTACTGTTGTCATTCTACGTTACTTAGGCAAATCTGTCCCCCCACCGAGATATGTCCGTAACAGATGGCTCCACGAACTTTTATGTCCCTTCTAGGAAAGTGCTTAAGTTCGGGCACGCTCGTCCCTCAAGTCGTAGTGACTCATGTCGGACGAGGAGGTTTCCGTGCCATGTTCGAAATTCCCCAAGAAATTCCATTTATGAACTACCCATGTGAATTAGGCGAGGTTTAGTGGAGTCTTGCCATCATGGCAAATTCCGATGAAAATAAGAATGTCCCCACGATCTCTCTTTGCGCAGATGATGATGCCAGTACGGTTCGAGGTGCTGGTGAACTCAAATTATGTGTTTTGCAATGATGAACTATCATGACTAGGAAGATTGGCATGCCATATCCTCTATTGAATTATGTACGCTATAAAGCCATAAGAAGCATAGGCGTTGATATACTAGGGATATTAGTCATGATACCCAGAAGCAATGTGAAGATTCTAAGTGTCAAAGTAATCATACAATCAGATGTGGCCCCCAGTCAGCGCCACCAGGTATGATATGGAAAGGTCTGATGACGGAGGGGTTCTAATGCCACACGTGTGTACAACCTTCCCCCATGGTCTATTCGTATAGCTTGGGTGGCACAACCCTCTATATAAGAAGCCAGTCGCGTCCCAGCTGCCCTATATTGAATATCCACTGCGAGGACACTGTCTGTTGGGTATCACTCATCTTCCAGAACCTTCTCAAGATATTTGCAGCGTTAACCACATTGATGCATTTTGTTTCGAACCAGAATTTCTCCAGACAACTGATAATGAAGTCTCGCTGGTCTTGTTGTTGGGATTCTAAGCCCGCAACAAACATAGGCCAGAGAATGCATTTGAATAGGGCCTCATCGCACCTCATGGCCTCGATGATAGCAATCAATCCACCCACCAAGTGATTGAGGGGTGTCGTTTCTCTGACAAGAGCATCTGAGACGCGTCTGCCGTATATGAGTGCGCCGGCTTTGTATGCCTCTGCTAACGTTGACAGCATGTTAGTATCATGTGTCGAATGAGTGTCTAGTTGTGGTAGGTCCGATGCCCAGGCCCGGCAATCAAAGTCTTGTGTTAGGTTAAGTACTATGCTGACATTCTCAATGTATGATTGCAGGCTGCCCTCCTCGAGGGGATCTGAACCTGCAAGCATATCCCTACATATTGAAAAGGACCGCAGAGCATCTAGAAGAAACTCAGGACAACCTAAATAGGACTTATCAAGACTCATCTGGAGGGGTGTTGTCGGCTCATGTAGAGAGGGCGTGTTAGATAACAGCCGGGGACGCGTGTATGTTGCTCCGAGTGTGTCAATTCTGATTTTGAGAGTGGTCAGCAAGGAATATGTATACACCAGGAGATTCTTCATTGACACGTACAGATAGATCTGTCTTATAATGAAGTTACGCATCTCTTCGACGGTCTCCCCAAGGCGCTGCTCGGTGCCTCTCCCTGACCCCACGGGTTGAATCTGAGTAATCAATTTCTTGACGCCTTCTAGGTGAATGTTCCACTTGTCGCTTCCGGACTCCAAGAGATCCAGGAAAATCAATAGAAATGCGCTGGCGATTACTGTATCATTCTTATATAATTTCTGATCGCTCAAAGTATGCGATAGCTCTTGTATAGCTTTGTATTTGAACCAAAGAGCATTATGGTGTGCGTCAGTTAATGCCGGAAGGGATGATGTTCCAAGTTCATAGAATGATTGGCCTCCATTAGCCATATGGCGCGCCGAGAGCGCGATAATAGACGTCAATAAGACTGAGTCGCTCAATGCAGCGGGTATTACATTTCTTAAAGGGTTCCTCTTGCTGTCATACATAACGAACAGCTTGCATACGCATTTGCTATCTGCATGTGGTGTTAAAGCTTACTCGGGATGGTTTGGTGGATTAGGTAAAATAGTAGCATGCTTACAATAGTATAGGTAGTATTTAGAAACCTTGTCTAGGCTTGAAGCATAGGGGTCATCTGGATTTACTAGTACATTGTCGACACAGAGATTACGAGGTCCTGCGTATTCAAATTTGCACCGTTAGTTGAAAATATATAATTTTAGCAATGACCTCCCACATTGCACCGGGGGACTTCTTATCTCACCAGGGGTATCCTCACCATACTCCAATGAAGCATAATCATTGGCTATTGACTCGGCATTGGTTATAATCCTTGTGCATGGACCATCTCTCCTTGTTGAGTCTAGGTTGAACTTCGTCACAGAAACGGATGCATCCTTGACCGAAGGAACTTTCTTCTTACCCCGAAAGGCTGCACCTTGGACCCATCGGAAAGGCCGCTTCTGGAAACATTCCAGTCCAGCCTTTTTACATTTCTTGCAAGGAGGCGCAGTCATTTCGCATTCGATGCGCCTGCGGCGACAAGTGTAACAGGAGTTATCCATTATCGTCGACTTTGTCGAAAACGACTAATCCGTCATCGAACTTTCGCTGAATAAATTGCCTGTATTATACGCAAGTTAATTGAGTTATGACAGAGCCATTAGCTGCAATTCCATAGATATTGCCCGCATTGAATGTACGGAGCGGGGAACTGTCACAGTCACATGACTCATATTTGAGGCCTGAGGCAGTCAAGGGCCTGTCAGTCTTTTGAGCCTTTTCAAGTAAGTTCCCCTTCCGTCCACGTGGCGCCAATGATCGTGAACTGCCAAGCCCGGGCTCCCGGGCCGCGGGTAGCCTAGCCCCTTTCAGGTCATGTCAATATCAGTCCACGGTGACGGCGAACGCGACGCAAGGTCAATATATGTTTTGACCAGGCTTCAGTTTCTGCATAGTTGCCTTAAGACTTTGTGCTACGCTAGGACTACCTAGCTGGAGGGAGCCTTGCTCATTCCATTCAATTAGAACCATGGCTGGCAATTAGTACATGACAGCGGGATCCTGTTAAACCTTAACAGAGTGTCATGGCTTACAACAAATCCCGAAATCCCGCTTACCATGAATATGAATGCATCTTTTCGTGTTATGCAAGTTGCCAAGAGAAGGGGTTTCCTCTGAAAGTACGTTCAATTATGGCTGCCCCCCTACAGACTTAGCCTAGATAGGCAACGTTCACCGTTTTTCTAGCCAAGTTCGTCCGCCAGATCGGCATTACCCCATACCTATCTCGTCTAGTGATAAAAGACAAGAGTTGGCGGACAGACACAGCCTTCCCCTCAGAAGCCTACACCAACATGTAGCCCTCAGGCCATAACCAGGCGATTTCACTCAGTCCACGGAAATCAACGACGTCAACTATCGATATGGCCGAACAGCGCACCGCCGCGAACAAAACCTTAGCCCCCCCTGAGCTCAATGTTGAGCGAATTGAGAACCCTCTCCCAGTGATAGAAGTTGAAGAGGAGGATTACTCACCGACAGATTCCGCCCTCGGAGGCAGCGATAGCCAAAGTTACGCCACGTCCCTCCTTTCTGAAGTGAAAAATTACAAGTATGAGAACGGCCGTCGATACCACTCTTACCGTGAAGGGCAGTGTGTGCTGCCAAACGATGAACAAGAGCAAGACCGCGAGGATCTATTACACCACGTTCGAAACCTGCATTTCAGTGGACATCTGTTCCACGCTCCGATCCCAGAGAATGTTGAGAACGTTTTCGATATTGGCACCGGAACAGGTATGGGCTTGCAGTTCGAAACATATACATCGTCTATTCATTCCGGGAAATCCGCTCACTTATCGCTGACCAAATCATAATACAAAGGTATCTGGGCCATCGACTTCGCAGACTTATACCCCAACGCCCGAGTAATCGGCACCGACCTCAGCCCCATCCAACCCGCCTGGGTCCCTCCGAACCTGGAATTCTTCGTCGATGATGTTGAAGCCGACTGGACTTTCAAACGAGACCACTTCGACTTCATCCGCGCATGCGACCTTGCCGGTTCGATCGCTGACTGGCCGAAATTGCTGCGTCAAGCATATTCACACACGAAGCCAGGTGGATGGTTGGAACTATCCGACTTTGAGATGGAACATTTCTCCGATGATGACACACTTCATCTGGCGCCCACACTGGGCGAGTGGTTTAGACTGTTGATTGAGGCGAGCGCGAAGTTTGAGCACCCGATGAAGGTGGCGACTGACCATCAGAGAAATATGATCGAGGCGGGGTTTACGGATGTGAAGGAAAAGATTTACAAGGTAGGTCATTTCCTCTTTCTCCCTCTCTTTCTCTCTCTATCGGGGGTTTGCTACTCCTTTCGTCGATCGGATATTGACTTTAAGTTCTGTAGTTCCCGATGGGTCCCTGGGCCAAAGAAGAACGATTAAAAGAAGCCGGTAGATTCCATCGTGAGGTCATGGTTATGAGTCTCGAGTCGTATGCTCTTGCGCTTTGTACAAGGGTCCTCGGCTGGGCCCCTGTGGAGGTAGCGGTTTTCTTATCTTCTGTGCGGAAAGAGTTGAGAGACCCTAGAGTGCATATCTATGGGAAGTTTCATGTTGTGTGGGGAAGGCGGCCGAGTGAGTGAGCATGACTCAAGCTGAAGTGGCGTTTGTGGATGATGATTAATGACCTTTTCCTAATTATACTAATAATGTACGAATTTCCTTTCTTGGCCTCTTTTCGGGGGTTGCTACTGAAATCAAACAAGTGACTAACAGGACCCTGGGTATATATACACGAAGTATCATTCGTAAGGTCTATAGGCCAACTATCCGATACCTCAACGCCACTATTCGATACAAATCCCGCAAAAGACTTTCCAATATGTTAGCGACAGGCACCAGCCATACTGAGACGAAAAA